GTTTCATATAATACTTTTTTTGATGAAGTTGTTTCATATATGGTTGTGAAATTGTTTCATATAATACTTAATGAAACTGTTTCATGTAGGGGTGTAAATGAGACGAGACAACTCGCGAGCTACTCGAAATCGACTCGGTCAAAACTCGGTCAACACTCGACCCGAATAAGTTCGACTCGAACTCGAGCTCGACTCGACATACTAACGAGYCGAGCCGAGCTATCTGATACTCGACTCGATAGGCTCGTGAGATACTCGAATATATTTTTTATATAATTAATTATATAATTATATGATACTCTAAAGCCCAATGTGTATATATACATGTTCAGTTTTTATTTTGGGCCAAAAAAAGATAGTACCGTGCCTTAGTCCATTCCACTTACCAGATCAGCCTTAGTCCGTTCCACTTAGGCACTTACCCTAACCTCGCTCTCGCTCTCGCAAGTCGCAACAGAAATCGACGCTCCCTCGCTCTCCCTCACTCCTCCCTCGCTCTCGCCGGTCGCTCTCCCTCACTCCTCCCTCGCTCTCGCCGGTCGCTCTCCATCTGCGACTGCCTCTCGTCGCTGGTCGCTCTCCAGCCTCTCGTCGCCGGTCGCTCTCCAGCCTCTCGTCGCCGGTCGCTCTCCAGCCTCTCGTCGCCGGTCGCTCTCCAGCCTCTCGTCGCCGGCCGCTCTCTCGACTATCGACGGCCGGAATCTGCCACTGACATTGAGGTTAGGGTTAGGGATTTATTGATTTAACATTTAAGTCTTTGCAGTTTACTTACTTTATTTTTTAAAATTTAATTTTGTTTGAATGTTTGATTGAAAACCTAATAATGAAACTAGCTTAGTCTGCTTAGTGCTTAGAAGCTGTGAATGTGATTATGTAACTGAATATGCTTCCAGATGGGTCATCAACTGCCCTCAAGATGTTCTAGGTACCCAGTAGTTCAAATATTGTCAAACATATAAAACAAAAACTAAGATAAGAAACGTTTTTACCTGTCAAGCACCCGCCAACAATCACCAATCTTTGTGGTTAGAAGCTGTTTTGTTAAACTAAGATAAGAAACRCCCTGTGTTTATCTGAAGGCTTATCCTGCTTAGTGCTTAGAAGCTGTTTTGTTAGACTATTTTAATTTGTTTGACTCACACCACACCACATCAAAATTTTCTCTGTTTAATGAAGTATTTTAATGATCGTTGACCAAACATTTACAATTCTAGAGATGTCTAGTGGACCACAAGTATCTTCCACTGCTGTTGGTGTTTCAAACGAAGACTTGCATGTAATTGTTGATGAAGGAGGATCAAATGAATTGGAGAACGTGTCAATGGAGGTTAATGAAGATCCTTGTGAAACCCCCCTTAACACCACAAATAAAGAAGATGAGAATGATAATAATCCTTTTCATAACTCTAAAAGACCAAGAAGATCAAAAGTATGTGATGAATTTTTTGATCCTGAAATGATAAAAAATCAATGGAAAGTAAGGTGCAAGTATTGTAAAACTCCTCTTTCTGTTTTGAAATCTAAGAGCACTACCCATATGCACCGACATTTAGAATCTTGTGTTATGAAAGCAAAACACATGAGACAACAAAAGTTGATTAATTTTTTGCCATCTGATTCAAGCACTGGTACAAATCAATCTGGATTTGTTAGTGCTTTACATAATGGTAAACTTGATATGTTAAAGATGCGAGAGGGGATAGCCCATTGGATCACTATGCATGAGCATTCTTTCAGTATTGTTGAGGAGGAAGGATTTAATTTGATGATGAAAAGGGGAATACCTGAATGGAACCGTGTATCCCGAGTTACTATTAAAGCAGACGCTTTCAAAGTTTATGAGTTGGAGAAGAAAAAGCTAAAAGATTTGTTCAAGAAAGTAGAACGAGTAAGTTTGACTACAGATTTGTGGAAGTCAAAGCCACAAAAAATTGAATATATGGTGATTACCGCTCATTTTGTGGATCTTGAATGGAAGCTTCAAAAGAGGGTGATTAATTTTGTTCATTTGCCTCCTCCACGTAAAGGTGCAAATATAGCTGATTGCATCTTAACATGCCTAAGGGAGTGGGAAATTGAGGACAAAGTAAGTT